AGGTTTATTATTTATAGAAGTCTGCTAGCGGTGCCAGTTCATATGCGGTTCATGCAATTTATTATAGGAACAGCGATGAAGTCACAGCTTCCACCGCCACACGCACCTACTGCTCATCCCTGGTCATCACTCTTGTCTATATATTTGTTGTATTGTATATTGTGCGTTGTAATTAACCAGGGCCGCTTCTGGCCAGGCGAGACAGTGGGACTAATTGTCCTGTTCGTTGTTCGTTGTTGTTTTTGTAATGACAATTAAGGGACGCAGGGCGCGATATACATGCTTAGCCTCACCATAGATATATACAACACCTATATGGCCTCACACGTCTCCTAGCCCGCCAAGGTCCGGCTGATAATGACGAAAAACCGGTCGGATTGAAATGTCGCCGGGCGATTTTCGGAAACGTCAAAATAGGCACGAACGAAATATCATGAGAGTTATATTTGCCTACCCAGATGATGTACGTGAGTACGGACTTTCCTATCAAGATGTAGCGGACGAAGTCGAGACACGGGGCCTAGGCTTGGGTGCCTATAGGTTGCCGTAGTGTATATATATATTTGTATTGTGTTTTACTAATAAAGTCAGTCTTCAAGAACAAATTCTGCGACTACATCGTCTTTACTCTTTGCTACAATCTGCTACTATTTGCTAACTCTACGCTGCTACGACTCTACGAGAACACTGAGATCTTCAACCTTTTCGAACCTTTCCCCTCGGCCACCCAATTCACCCCTCTGCTTCCTGTTTTAATAGACTGAATCGCAATTTGTAGCATTTCACACAGGGATAAGTTCGTACCTACACATGCTTACATCGCCGATTCTTCTGTTTTGTTCTGCCTTATCTATAATCAACAGGGACTAGACCGAGAGTAGAAGAACACATTGGCTTGCTTCTAACACAAGTTGTTGACATATGTCGCAATGTTTTCCTATGACATTTCATATTTACGTTTGTATGAAAATCTCATAGAGGTGACGACAATACACGCAAATAGCTACAATTTAACCCTCACTGCCAACGGTTATATATATATCAAGAGTACATAATAGAGATCTATGATGTACATTATGTACATTATGTACACATCTCTATTATGTACTCTTGATATATATATAGATATCACGAAATACTATTACTTTTCATACAGCAACGGTAGCAACGGAATGCATTTTACAAGTTCCTCATAACATTGCGCACACAATATTCATTGTACGATTTTCCTGATATCGATGCTTAGAGGAAATCTTCCCATTTTATCGTATTTACAATAAAAGTCACAAAGAAAATTTATTTCATCTACTGCAGGTACGATCGCAAACCAATGCTTTCACACGGCTTTATTTTAGATAGTACGATTTAATCGGAGAAATTCATCTACAGTGCACTGGCCCAGCAATGTATATATAAAGCCAAAGACAGGAAACAACAGTCAGTATATATGCCAGATTTCTCAGCATGCAACCTGTCCACATTAAATCTAGCAGCGGTGCACCCACCCTGATAAGCCATGCCGACCTATAGTCAACTCCTCATATACACGCCAGGCTGAGTGAGTGACAGGAGCAACGAGACTCAGCTAAAGTATAGACATGGCACGGAATCCCTTGTGTGTAGTCACCACACACGTATAAACGTGATCTAGAAAGCTACGCATTTTAGCGCTTCTTTATCGATAAATTACCGCACAGCTTCTACAGAGTTACGAATAATACCCGTAGATATTACGCGACGATACTCTAATGATCCATGTAGAGCACTCAAGTGACAGGAATTGAAATATTGCATGTTTTCTTTTATTGAGAATATTACTTTCCCATGCAAAGAACAGAGAATTCGAAAATGCTCTTTTTGCAGTCTAATTTTGTATTGCCATAATATAGTCAATATTTAGCTCATAATTTACTCTCGGTGTTTGTTATGTCAGCAGCTATGATGGCTAGCACAGTCTCTAGCTTTCTGCGCAGAGTAAAGTGCTTCTTGCACTCGCCTATAGGTCAATACCCGGTCTGTGACTCGAGATCTTTTCTGCCGCTACTCCCAACTTTGCTGTTGCTGAATAAATAATGCATGTATTCCTGCGCACAGCCTCCCGCTAAACCAATGTTAATTGTTATCGTCTGGCAAAACCTGCTGTCAAAGCAGATGAAACCACGCAAAATGACAGCCGATAAATGTCTGAAACACGGTTGCGCCCGATGATAAAAATGTGCCTAGAGTAAGTATACTAGTCAAACATGTACGTATATAATAGCTGATAATAGCCATTCAATTAAAAGCCAAAAAAATGTATTTCGCAGATAGATATCGATTCCATAGAGGGGCACCCTAACACAGAGATGAATAGGGGTAACTATAGTCATGTGTATTTAGAAGATGAGCAAGATTACCATCCTGCTAACACCCTCTTGACATTTTCTTTCATTAGGAATGCAGCATTGAAATACTGAACTTTACACCACTTTCGTCAGATTATGTTAGTATTTAGATAAAGAAAACTCGAATAGGGAACCTGGGTAGGTTCTACATGTTGTAGTTATACTAGTTGTATGTAGAAGTATATAAGTAATTATATAGTTGTGTCTATGTATTAAAATGACAAAATAAATAAATAAATATATATATATATATATATATAT